GTAATGCTGGCGCTACTTGGTGGCTTCCCTGAAATCTGCTTGTGGACCCCAGGAGGACCTGGATCCCAGATTGAGAAGCACAGTCCTAAGGCTTTGTCTGCCTGGGGATGTTACATTGCACTGATTCTAGTTAATTAACATTAAAATGCCTGTGTGTACATGCAGTCTCTTTTCAGAGTAATTTACAGCACTTTACAGCATTGTAACTTTCTGGATCAAGAAACACCCCCTTCCTGTGAAGAAACACCCCCTTCCTCCAAGCACAGCAAGTTACAGCACTGCAAAGCACCAGTGTGAACCAGGCTACAGCCCTGGAAGCCATACTCCCAGCGCTGTTACCTGCTCCCCTTGTGGAGATGGTTTTACATAGAGCGCTCCTGCTGTGGCTATGCTTTCAGTTTAAAGTACTATCACAGCTGTGCTTTAAACTTTTTAAGTCTAGACAAAGCCTAAGTAAGCCTTCTTGGAACAGTAGTAAACCCACTTAATAGGGAGCTTTTTTACTTAAATATTCATCTTAAAATGCTGGTGTGCAGCTAGGAATGTCCCTCTCTTTATATATATATCTATTATAGCAACCGTGTCCCCTTTGGAGACAAGCATGTACAGTCTCATCTTGATAAAGATCACCAGAATGCAGGCATCTTCAGTACGCTGTTAGAGAAAATGAAGACGAGGGCACACTCCTAGAACTGCTGAGTCAACACAGCAGAGCTCTGGCAGCAGTATCTGAAGACAAGGGACCATAGCAGAACCTCCAGTACCACTCCCACTACTTGCCCAAACCATGAGGAACGGGACTGCATTTTTTCAAACAGTGCCATGATTGAATTCAAAACTGAAGTGGTGGAAAGCTTTTCAGAGAGCATGCTAAGTTCCCCCTCAAACCACTGCCTGCTTGTTTGAGGTCATGCAAGCCATGGGGTCTGACCAGGAGATTTATCAGGGTGGCCTGACTCGGCAGATATGGACAATACACAAGAACCCCAAGAGGACAGCCATACTAACACTGCTGTGGCAGACAGCTCTATTGGCACTCTGTCTAAAATGGTTGTGCAGGGGAACTGCCCCAGTAAATATTATGTGCCGAATTACAGTACAACAGTCTAGGAAGTTACTTTGTCTAGATATAAGCTGTCCGCTACCATGCTGGGAAGAGCTATGAGTCTCTTTTTAAAGCTTTTATTTTTATTCTTCCCTGTCCACATCTGAACCCACCTACTCCTTTACGAAACTGCTTCCTCACTCTCCTCCCTCCACTCACTGTGAGCACCCCTCCTCACTCAGAATGGTATGCATGTTAGACAATTCAACTTTTAAATTGTATTTCTCTGCAGTGTGAACTCCTACAACTATTTGCCACAGTTTCCTCATTCATGTCACCACCCTTATTGAACTGCTTCCTGCTCTTTCTCCTTCCCTCACCTGCAGCCACTGTGAATTCTCTCCTCCCCCTTCTTCCCTTGCTTAGGATGTCACCAGCATGAGGATTAAAAAATGGAAAGCACTGCATACAAGTCACCTTTATTGCAAATTAAAAAAAAAATCATTAGAAAAGGTATATTGGCTCACAGATCCGTTAGTATACTCCATGTTCACTGAAGCGCACAGTTCATGAGATAAATGTTCCACATCAGACTACAGAGACACTTCAAAATACCTGGATATTCTAAGGTGCTATACATGATTTGAATAGAGAATGCTTACTACAGAATTACTTTCATTTTGCAAAGTATGTTGGGCTAATCCAGGGGTGGGCAAAAGCCACTCACTGGGCTAGATCCAGCCCACCTAAGGCTTTGATCCAGCCTGCGTGGCTGTTCCAGACCCCACCTCCTAGTGCATTATTTGTGAGCTGGAGCTGTGCGAGCCCTTTAAATAGAAGCAGTTGAAAGGGCTTGTGTGTCTCTGGCTCCCTGGCAACGTGCTAGTGGCGCTGGAACTGCAAGCCCTTTTTAACTATTTCTAGTTAAAGGGCTCGTGCCTCCTGGGCGGCTTTGTTGCCTGGCAGCCACCTGGCAGGTGCAAGCCCTTTAAATAGAAGCAATTGAAAGAGCTTGCAGCTCCAGCCCCACACTAGCCTGTTTATCTCTCTGAACAACGGGGAGAAACAGATTAAACTGGGCTGAGGACTGTTATGGAGAGTCCACGCCTCCTGGCTGGGATACCTGTCCTTGTCCCTTAGGGTATGTCTATGCTACAAAGTTAATTCGAACTAACGGATGTTAGTTCGAATTAACTTTGATAGGCACTACACTAGCGCTCCGTTAGTTTGAACTTAATTCGAACTATCGGAGCGCTTAGTTCGAACTAGGTAAACCTCATTGTACGAGGACTAAGCCTAGTTCAAACATACTAGTTCGAATTAAGGGGTGTGTAGCCCCTTAATTCGAACTAGTGGGAGGCTAGCCCTCCCCAGCTTTCCCTGGTGGCCACTCTGGCCGATAGGCACTACACTAGCGCTCCGTTAGTTTGAACTTAATTCGAACTATCGGAGCGCTTAGTTCGAACTAGGTAAACCTCATTGTACGAGGACTAAGCCTAGTTCAAACATACTAGTTCGAATTAAGGGGTGTGTAGCCCCTTAATTCGAACTAGTGGGAGGCTAGCCCTCCCCAGCTTTCCCTGGTGGCCACTCTGGCCAACACTAGGGAAACTCTATTGCCCCCTTCCCGGCCCCGGACCCCTTAAAGGGGCACGGGCTGGCTACGATGCCCGTGCCAGGTGCAAGC